GGACTACGCTCGCGGCACTTGGGTTTGCTCCTTCCACTGCCGACCCGTCGCTGTTTCTGCGCACCGACACCTCTCTGCCGCCGTTCTACATCCTCGTGTACGTCGACGACTTGGTCTTTGCCACAGCTGACACTGCTGGACTCGCCTACGTGAAGTCCGAGCTGCAGAAGAGACACACGTGCACTGACCTGGGTGAACTGCGCAGCTACCTTGGCTTGCAGATCACCCGGGACAGAGCACGCCGCACCATTACCCTGACTCAGTCACACATGGTGCAGCAGGTCCTTCAGCGCTTCGGCTTCACGTACTCCTCGCCTCAGGCCACTCCTCTGCCTACTCGCCACTCGCTCTCAGCTCTGCCTTCGGATGAGTCCGTAGAGTCGAGTGGCCCGTTTGCAGAGCTTGTTGGCTGCCTCATGTACCTGATGACCTGCACACGACCTGACCTCGCATACCCTCTTAGCATTCTCGCACGCTTTGTTGCTCCTGGGAGACACCGACCAGAGCACATGGCTGCAGCGAAGAGGGTGTTGCGCTACTTGTGCAGTACGTCGGGCATGGGGCTAGTGCTTGGAGGGCGCAGTCCAGTGGTCCTCACTGGGCACGCAGACGCTTCTTGGGCTGACGACCAGGCTACGCAGCGGTCGTCACAGGGTTACACCTTCAGCCTTGGTTCCGGCTCTGTCTCGTGGCGGGCTACCCGCTCGTCTTCTGTTCTCGGCTCCAGTTGTGAGGCTGAGATCTACGCTGGGGCTATGGCTGCACAGGAGTTACGCTGGCTCACCTACCTGCTGACCGACCTTGGAGAGCAGCCTCGTTCTCCTCCAGTCCTGTACGTAGACAACAAGGCCATGCTGGCCTTGTGTCGAGAGCAGCGACTGGAGCACAGAACGAAGCACATTGCTCTTCGCTACTTTCTTGCTCGTGAGCTACAGCAGCGTGGACAGCTGCGACTTGCGTACGTGGCCTCTGAGGCCAACACTGCTGATGTCTTCACCAAGGCACTTGCGCCTTGTGATCATCAGCGTTGCTGCACGCAGTTGGGTCTTGTGCCTGTCTTGCCTCACTTGCTCTCCTCTTGACCTTGCTTGTACTTTCGCATATATATACTCTTGCTCTTGTATATCTCTATATATGATCTTGCATGTGAACTGGCCTTGTGGCCTTTGAACTTGTGCTCGGAATGCGTGGTGACTTTGTGATCCACCCTGAGCTTTGCTTTGCTTTGCTTGACCGGTCTTGTGACCCCTTGTTCTCCCCCACTTTGCCTATGGGGGTGTGTCAGAACTTATAGCTTACTTGTTTCTGTAGGCTATAGTGGGGTATCCCATAGGGGGTACAACCCAATTAGGGTTTCCTATTTGTACTCACTTCGTTCATAGTCATTTCACTTCTCGTTCGTACTTTCTCAGCACTCGGATCCTCTGCTTCGACCGGGATTCATTTTTTTTGGCGAAACTCCATTTTGCCCGTGGCGAGACGATTTTACTCGGATTTGACTCGGATTCGGCGCAAAAGGGTGTTGGATCTTACAAAATCCAAACCACCTGATGGCGCAACGAAATGGGCGCAAGAGTAGTTACACTACCGGTTTGGATTATCGACGGTCGCACGAAAGCGACGTCGCAACCATTGTTGTACAGTATTTGTATATAAACTTTGTTGTTGACACTTTGGTGTAATTCTGACAAGCAGAATGTCAAAATGGCTAAGTCAAAATTCTATATGGTTTGGCTAATAACTCCATCATTTGTTGGTCATTTGCACACAAATATGGATTTCCAGCATCTCCTTGATGTCCTCTACAAGCGGGCATGAGTTTGTTATTTTGTCAAATTTGTTCCATTTTGTCACTTTTGTGTCAACTAAGATTGCTCATAGCACATGTAAAGTCATTCTCTGTGCATCACACACATGTGTTATGTGGTGACCATTTTTTTTAGCATTGTTAGTGTTATGACACCTGTTCCAGCCCCCCTGAACATTTTCAGCTATATGCAAACTGATTTGGTGGACTTTTTCTTGCAATGAAGTTAGTGTACAGAAATGCCTGGACTTAGGTTTCAATTGAAATCACCCACTTCTCCTTGAGCAAATGAGCTGATTTTTATAGGAGACTCTCACCACACATATTCCAGACCCCCACATGAAATTCACCTCATTTGCCCAAGGTTTGATATGTGTTTGAAGCCTTGCTGTGCAGCAATCTGCAGAATTCTGTGCAGAATTGCCTGGACTTAGGTTTCAATTGAAATCACCCACTTCTCCTTGAGCAAATGAGCTTATTTTTATAGGGGACTCTCACCACACATATTCAAGATCCCCACATGAAATTCATCTCATTTTCCTAAGGTTTGATATGTGTTTTAAGCCTTGCTGTGCAGCAGTCTGCAGAATTCTGTGCAGAATTGCCTGGAATCAGGTTTCAATTGTAATCACCCACTTCTCCTTGAGCAAATGAGCTGATTTTTATAGGGGACTCTCACCACACATATTCCAGACCCCCACATGAAATTCACCTCATTTGCCCAAGGTTTGATATGTGTTTTAAGCCTTGCTGTGCAGAAGTCTGCAGAATTCTGTGCAGAATTGCCTGCAATCAGGTTTCAATTAAAATCACCAAATTCTCCTTGAGAAAATGAGCTGATTTTTATAGGGGACTCTCACCACACATATTCCAGACCCCCACAAGAAATTCACCTCATTTGCCCAAGGTTTGATATGTGTTTTAAGCCTTGCTGTGCAGCAGTCTGCAGAATTCTGTGCAGAATTGCCTGCAATCAGGTTTCAATTGAAATCACCCGCTTCTCCTTAAGCAAATGAGCTGATTTTTGTATGGGACTCTCAACACACATATTCCAGACCCCCATATGAAATTCACCTCATTTCCTCAAGGTTTGATATGCGTTTTAAGCCTTGCTGTGCAGCAGTCTGCAGAATTCTGTGCAGAATTGCCTGCAATCAGGTTTCAATTGTAATCACCCACTTTTCTTTGAGCAAATGAGCTGATTTTTATAGGGGACTCTCACCACACATATTCCAGACCCCCACCTGAAATTCATATTTTTTCGTAGACGTGTAGTATGTTTTTCACTCTCTCCTCTGCAGGCGGGAGCAGAGCACTTTGGTGAAATGTACAACATTTGTTTTGTACTCCAATGCCACTGTTATACGGGTGCTAATGATAGGGCACTCATCTCACACTTATAGGATTACCCGTTATAGTATTGGGTGTGCTAATCATGCAAAGTTCATGCTTGTGTTTGAATTATGGGTTACAAAAACTAGTACTATACGTGCTACACAAGTACCCCTATAGCGGTACTCTCGGATGTAGGGTGTCATTCGATTTCTGACACGTGTGACAGGTCGCAGAGACAGCTCTATTTCCAGGTTGCGGAGGGAACCATGCGGATGGGATAGCTATACGTGGCAGCCTGTCATTAACCTGTCACAGGACACCATTCGTTTTTTTTAGGGGCTGCCCGTCACCATTTCGTACGAGGTCGAGGCAAAGCTGAGACCATGCAATGGCACCGCAGAACATGCAATATGCTAACATGGCAAAGAGTAGTTCGCAAATGTTCGAAGGGAAATGGTGAGAAGCCGAATATTTTGAGCCATGGGGCAGAAAATTCTTACTACGCCTGGCGTTTGAGGACAGAGCACAACCAATTCTACCAGCGAAGCAGAAGTTGGGATCAGGGTGGGTGCACCAAAGCTCGACGTCATTCTCGCCATTCCAATCTGAGTCGAGGTTCCACAACTAGTCTCACAAGCTTCCCTCTCATTCTAGTGTCGGCCTCTTATCCTACAGGTAGAGAGTGTTTGTTAGTGACCGTTTAGCTACCTGCCATCTTCTGGCATACTTACGCGATGTCGTCCCAGCTAATCACAAACGGCTGCGGATTGTCGGTACGACTAGGGCGGGAGTCTTATGAAAGGTTAATCGCTCGTCAGGAAGAGTGGAACGAGGCGTTGTTACTTTTCGGCCTAGTGTATGTATCCAAGCGCGGTTTGTAACGCACGCTGACTTCATCGACACGTTGAACCCTTGTTTTTTAGACAGGCACCTGCTATCTTCTTACCTCTGCGACATGTCGGCTTGGATGCAGGGAGGTTGCCAAGGACAAGATTGGGGATCCTCGCGTTCGCAAAGACATAAAGATTCTGGCTCCTACCGAGCATCGGCGTTTGAGGTCTGCTGTCCCGCGTGTCCCCAGTTGTGGCAGCGAACATCGGTCGCTGTTGGACTACCAGATGGTTTTAATACCCATGATATCAGAGTGAGTTTCCTGACATGTATCCGCAACGTTTGTCGATGACACCAGCTATCTTGCTAATCCAAACTTCCATGTACCGCAGAGTCGCTGTTGTTCGCTCGACGGCGATCAGTCTCATGGTGCTGATGAACCCGCAAGATTTGTTAGCACATCCCCGCGGAGAGTACCGTACGCGTGTGCTACACTTCGACCCTAAATCTGCAATCCCAACCCATCGCCACAGCGAGCATGCCAAGGAGGTGTTCGAGTAGGTATCACTCCTTAAGCAGATGTGCGGTTTGTGTGGACGCATGATATTGATTATTTGCGACCCCCTTGCCCTGCAGCTGGCTTATCCGACAACTAGATGTGGAATACAGCCGAGGTCGCAGGGTCTCTGGCAGCCACGCCGAAGCGGTGCAGAAAGATTTGAGGGCTCGCCTAAATGATCTGATTCTGGAGGAAGGCAGGGTAAGGAAGGAGCCTCTATTCTTATGATTTAAGCATTGTATGATATCAAGCTTGTACAAAGTAACGGGAGTGTCTGACAACCACCTTTTCACGCACATGTTGCAGATCAACAAGGTTCAGGGACAGAGGCAAGTGGGTTCCGGGCTGCATGTTACCCATGTGTTCAGCAAGTTGCTGGACAAATGGGGGGATGTCATGGCGATTCAGTCTGTAGAGCCGATGATGGTCTTAGGGAAGGGGAAAAACAGCGCGAAAGAAATTCGGAGTATGCTGGAGTCGACCTGCAGGGCCTTCTTCGACCTGCAAGGAGTCCAGCTCCGTCCCACCCCGGATGCAGTCATGACGACCCACTGTGCTCGAGTGGTAGAGAGCGCACCCGCACAGAACAGATCCGAAGCGGTAGAGGGACAGATAGACGTACCTGCCGCAAACCGGGACGCAAATCCAAGAGTTGGGTTTATTTCATATTCTCGCCGACCTGCACCGAGGGATGCAGTACTGAGTGGCCCGACATCAAGGGCAGCCACTGCTGACGAGCGTGATAGGTCTGGAGATAGGCAGCACAGGTTTGCTGATCGGGTTAGGAGGCCGCGGGAACGCGAAGCACGGACGGAGACCGACTTGGCAAGCGTAGCAGATGAAGGCGAGGAGGGTGTAGAAGATCCACAGCTGCCAAGTCAGGTCGAACAGGCAGAGGAGCACTGGAGGAAGGCGGCTGATGAAAAGCGGATGGTCGAAGCAGAAGCCAAGAGTAGACGGGCTGAAGAGATGCAGCGGCGCAGTGATGGCGGCACCGATCCTACCGTCTCTTTCCCGGGAACTGGAGACATACGTGAAGCATGGGAGCGTGGGGCACGAGCCGCTGCAAGGGCACACGTGGGAGAGGCAGGAGAGGAGCTCGCCAGCAATGTGCGGCAGCATATCGAGGAGGATAGGGGATACGTGAAAGTTCGCTTGCCTAGCCTAAAGCGGAAGGCGGCAGAAGAGGCCCGGAGAGGGGACGTCGACGTGCCAGAGAATTCGGGAGAGGCGAAAAAGAAGGAGGAGAGCAACGCGGGTGCTAAGGCTCATAAGATGGTGGAGGTAGAGGCGCACCAGAATGCAGAGGATGCGGCCCATCGGTTCGTCGATGCAGAGGCGGTACTTACGGCAGAGGACGGGGCGCCAAAGGAAGTAGAGTCTGCGGCGCAGCAGAAGGTGGGTGCAGAGGCGGTCAAGGGTGCGGAGGCAGTCGCGCGTAAAGAAGCGGGTGCAGCAGCAGAGCTGACGTCGGAGGCAGACGAGCTGATGGTTGTGGAGGCAGTGGCGCAGAAGGAATCAGAGGCAATGGCGAGCCAGAAGGATGAGGCAGCGGCGCAGCAGAATGATGAGGCAGACGCACATAAGGAATCAGCGGCAGCAGCGCAGCACAAGGATGAGGGTGCGGCGCCGAGGATGGTTGAGGCAGAGGCGCAGAAGGAATCAGAGGCAGCGGCGCAGCAGAAGGAGGAGGGTGCGGCGCCGAAGATGGTTGAGGCAGAGGCGCAGAAGGCATCAGAGGCAGCGGCGCTGCAGAAGGAGGAGGGTGCGGCGCCGAAGATGGTTGAGGCAGAGGCGCAGAAGGCATCAGAGGCAGCGGCGCTGCAGAAGGAGGAGGGTGCGGCGCCAAAGATGGTTGAGGCAGAGGCGCAGAAGGCATCAGAGGCAGCGGCGCTGCAGAAGGAGGAGGGTGCGGCGTCGAACATGGTTGAGGCAGAGGCGCAGAAGGAATCAGAGGCAGCGGCGAGGGAGAAGGATAAGGCAGCGGCGCTGCATATGGAGGAGGCAGACGCACATAAGGAAGGAGAGGCTCAGAATAAGGCAGAAGCAGCGGCGCGGCAGAAGGCGGAGGCAGAGGAGCAGAAACAGGCTGCGGAAGAGGCACTACAACTGGCTCGGGCTGAAGCGCGGAAGAAGGCTGTTGTAGAGGCGCAGAAGAAGGCGGAGGGTGTTGCGCAGAAGATGTCAGAGGCCGAGGAGCAGAAGCAGGCTGAGGCAGACGCACGAAGGAAGCCAGATGGAGAGGACGGTTCAGATGGGAATAAAATGGTACAGACAGAGGGACGGGAGACGGCGGGTGCTGAGGGGCACATCATCGCAGAGGAAGAGGGGCAGCATAACGAGGAGGCAGCGTCGCAGGTATTCGCATACCGAGAGATGCAGAGCATGGCAGAGACAGGGCGTCAAAATACTATGGAGGAGGTTCGTGTCGTCCCGGAGGCTGGAGTGGGGCACTACGAGGGAGATGCGTTGGAAACAGAAGAGGAGCAGAATGAGGAGGATACGGTACATCCGGCAGTCCGGATATTTTTGGGAGGAAGTCCGACGCGGGGACCAGGAACCGGGGTAGAGGGGCCATGGAGGGTGGCAGACGATGGGGCGCCTAGGGATACAGTGGATCTCAACAGGCAGAGGCGGCCCACCCTTCACCAGAGAGCAGTGGAGAGGAATCTCGGCCAAGGCGGGGTGGCAGAAGCGTTTTGGCAGGTAGAGTGGGTCGAGGCAGAGACGGCAATACGGCGGATGCTGCATCGGACGAGTACAGTCCTGGTCAAACAAGGTGACAGGTTCGTCGAGGCCGAAAGCTGGGACATAAGCCCGGCAGAGGTAACGCGTCGTCTGACGCTCTTAGCCCGAATGGTGACGCAGACGTTCTGCAACTTGGCGGCCCGCAACAGCAGCATCAGTCGCGACGTGGCCGATCTGACCGTCCATTACTGTCGCGACGCCCTGGCCAACCTGGAAGAAGTCCGCCATGGAAACGAGGAACGGCGGCGCCAAGCTGAAACGGCGGCCAGGTTTCGCGAGGAGGTGGACACGAGACTCTCCAACTTGCAGGAGAGTATCGTAAGGGTGAGTGATCAGGTTCGCCAGTCGGGAGGGGGGATGGCGGAGGGCACGTTAAAGGGGGTGGAAGAGAGGTTGAGAGAGGTTCTGAGAGAAGAGTCTGAGCGGCGGAACAGGGATAGACTGCAGGACGAGGAGCGGAGGCAGAAGGCCATGAGGAAGGAAGCAGACGCCGCAGAGAGACGGAAGAAGGAACAACAGCAGGAGGAAGCGCGTCGGCAGAAGGAGATGAGAGAGGGAATGAAGGAGATGAAGGAGGCGATGATGAAGGAGATGAAGGCAGAAATGAAGGAGATGAAGGATGGGATGGTAAACCAGATTGTGGGGAGGTTGAGCGCGGTTTTGCGAGAAGTATCCGAGCGGCAGAAGAAGGAGAGGCAAGTGGACGCGGAGCGGCGACAACAGCAGGACGCGAAGAGGAAACAAGTGGCGGACGACGAGGAGAGACGCAAGAGGATACAACTGGACGAGCAATGGCGGAAGGAGGAGGAGGTGAAGAGGAAGGACGTAGAGGCCACAGAGCGGCGGAGGAAGAACAAACATCAGGAGGAAGAGCGACGGCAGAAGGAGGTGGAGGCGGGAATGAAGGAAGTGATGGAGGCTGTGAAGGAGATGAAGACGGGGATTACGGGGTGGAAGGAGGGGATGATAAGTGAGGTGGAAAAGCGGCTGTCAATGGTTCTGAGATTGGACGCAGAGCGGCGGCAAAAGGAGGAGCAGGGTAGGAAGGCAACGGAGGGAGATCGGCGACAGAAGGAGGATGCGCAGAGGAAGGAGGCAGAGGAAGCAGAGCGGGTGGAGAGGGAGAAACAGCAAGAGATGGCGCTCCTGCAGAAGGAGGAGGCGCAGCGGAAAGATGCAGAGGAGGCCGAGAGGCAGGAGAGGGAGAAACAGCAGGAGATGGCGTGCCTGCAGGAGGAGGACAGGCAGAGGAAGGAGGCAGAGGAGGTAGAGCGGCGTCAAAGGGCGAAACAGCAGGAATTGGACCGCCTGCAGAAGGAGGAGACGCAGAAGAAGGAGGCAGAGGAGGCCGAGCGGCAGCAGCGGGCAAAACAGCAGGAGATGGAGCGCCTGCAGAAGGAGGAAGCGCAGAAGAAGGAGGTAGAGGAGGCCGAGCGGCAGCAGAGGGCGAAACAGCAGGAGATGGAGCGCCTGCAGAAGGAGGAAGCGCAGAAGAAGGAGGCAGAGGAGGCCGAGCGGCAGCAGAGAGCGAAACAGCAGGAGATGGAGCGCCTGCAGAAGGAGGAAGCGCAGAAGAAGGAGGCAGAGGAGGCCGAGCGGCAGCAGAGAGCGAAACAGCAGGAGATGGGGCGCCTGCAGAAGGAGGAAGCGCAGAAGGAGGCAGAGGAGGCGGAGCGGCAGCAGAGGGCGAAACAGCAGGAGATGGAGCGCCTGCAGAAGGAGGAAGCGCAGAAGAAGGAGGCAGAGGAGGCGGAGCGGCAGCAGAGGGCGAAATTGCAGGAGATGGAGCGCCTGCAGAAGGCGGAGCAATGCCGAGCAGAGAAGAGGGCCAGACTTGCATCCTACGCGGAACAGCAGCGGCAACTGGAGGCAAAGGCAAAGGCGATGGCTGAAGAGACGGAACGATTGGCAAGGGAGATGGAAGAGGAGGATTTGACCATGCAGGGGGAGGGGACCTGGACAGGAGTCGAGGAGGATTTGACCATGCAGGGGGAGGGGACCTGGACAGGAGTCGAGGAGGAAATAGTTGAGGGGTTGGGGACTTTGCTGTTGATTGAGAGCGGGGAGGCGAATGTAGCAGAGGGCGTGCCTAGTGTTCCTGTACGGAATGTAGAGGTGTCCAGGAGGCGGCCTAGACAAGAGGACAGGGAGCCGGAGGGTCATGCGGCTAAGAGACGGCGTGCAGCTGGAATACAGGAGTTGATACCCATAATCCAAGGGGAAAAGAAAGGGATGAAGATCGACAAGTGTGACAACAGGAAAAACGCCGTAGTGGACGACAAGGGTAAGACTTTGGGTGTCTGCCTGCCGTTCAGGGGAAGCGGGTTCTCTCAACGGGGCGAGGGAGCTTTGCAGAAGTGGACGTCTGAGCAGACCGTCGGTGGCCGAAAGACCTCGACTGCTGGAAGTTCTGTGGGAGAGGGCATACACGGTCGCAGTCTGCTGGAAGTTCTACTTCCCGGATATTGACATGCAGGCATACGGCATGAATCCAAACCGTATTAACAAGTGGCGGGAAGACCTCGACTTCACAACGTGGCTTCCAACAGGGGTGTGGAGCGTCATCAACGAACTTCACCTGGACAAACCGGACGGGTGAGTGTTTATGTGATGTACAGTTGCAACTTCTAAACACCCGCGAAGTTCGATGGTTCTGATCTTGCGACACTGGTGTCTTGTGCAGATTCTCACTCGTTCAAACCAACACGGCTCTTCGGCAGCAGCAGGGGGATGGCTTTCAGGTAGCTGCCTGCGCTGGTGTCGGAATAACTGCGTGGCAGAAGATGGTGGGAGGCGTGGAGGGTGAAAACGGCTATTCGACGGAAGAACACGCAATCGGACTTGCCGCCACGTTGTCTGTAATATGGGCCGCATCCACGAATGTGGACCAGACCCAGTGGGAGACGGGCGCAACAACAGCTGCACGTGGAACTTCTACGGCCATAGCATCTTCTGCTGCCAGATCGTCCACTGCTGCCACCGCCTCGTCGGATGCCTCGTCATCTTCTGCGGCCGATGTGCCCTCTGCCGTCCACAATGCCCTTGCGACGCTTGCAGCCTCGGTTGCTTGCGTTGCGGTTGAGGCGATGAGGTCGGTAAAGGATCAGGAGCATGACAAGGAAGCGTGGATTCTGCCCCTGTCGGATGCGCTGCTGAAAGCGCTTCCGGCAGAGTCGCGAGCGGCCGAGGATGCGAAGCGGATGACGAGGGTGGTGGCAAAGGTGGTGACCTCTTGGTGCCTATGCAGCATGGCATCAAGAGGCCTTCGCCAGCACCAGGGCGTCTGGCTCGGAGTCCTGCAGAAGAAGTTGGGCGGCCGGGATACCACAACAGGGGCGGATAAGGAGAAGAAAACCAAGAAATCGTCCGCGAAGGGGAACGCGACGAAGGATGCGTCGACGGAGGAGAACACCGGCACTAGCGGCCAGGATTGATAGAGGCAGACGGGTTCTTTGGAGGTCTTGTTAGTACCGCAGTAGAAATAGATTTTCCTTTTCGTTTTTTTTATTTAACCGTGTATAAATATAGGTGTTGTTGTATACAATACAATGAGAGATGTATTTTTGCTATGCAAACCTTCACTACACTAGCAAAATTTGTAGGGCGCGTATGGAGCTAGCAATGCAGCCGATAGAACTCGCCATCAAAGGGAGGGCCAGGCGAATAAAAAAATTGACGACAGGACGGCCTTCTACGACACTTAATCTACGTTTAATACTCGGCTTCTACGAAGAGGTAGAAGTATGGGGCTAAACAATCGCATAACATCTTGTCTAAGGGAGCACCTTATTAAGAACGTATACGGTATTCATATGCACAGACCTTTCTGCTATGGAGATTGAATTCCTCGACGCCGAATTCTGGAGGCAAATTGGAAACGCCACTATACCGCAGAAAAACCGACGTGTTGATAATATCTACCGTCATGGATAGGATCTTCGTTGCTACTAGTAGAATATGACACTGCTTTGCCCAGAAACATATGCTGAGACTGAATAAATCCACGCAAAAGTCTACCGAGTGACCTAAGAACACACATCTACAATCGTGAGAGTGAATTCATCGACGCCGCTCTGTAGAATAAAATCGTATACGATACGACATGACTCCGCAGAATTTCGCCCGGTGTATACCATCGATGTGTGCTTCATTGCATACACCAGAAAAACATTCTACGAAAAACAGCGCGCCCAGGGAATAAGGTGGCATACAAGCCCCAAATCGGGCTTCTACAGAGACAGACAAGTGCCTGTAGTGCATATTCGGTACAACCGGAATAAAGTACCCAAATAACTAAACCGCCCCACCCTTAAGGTACATGCCCCCTCATTTCTGCTCCTTGCGTTTCGACGCTTCGCCCTTCGCCTGTTCCCGTTCCGCCTTCTTCGCCGCAGCGGTTCGTTGTTTCTCCTCTTCCGCCTTCTCCTGCGCCATGTGTTCCTTGTGGATCTCCTCCCACTCATCATCCCCAAACAGCGAAGTTGCCCACTCCTGGTCGCGAAGGCCCTTCTTGACTAACAGCCAGCCCACTCTGCATTGCGCCAGGTCGTTGACGGTCCTCTTTTCCGTCGACGAACCGGTCTTCTGTTTCTTGATGGTCGGAGTCTCATGCAGCACAGCCAGGCCGTTGGTGAATTCCGTGAAGTTGCACACGAGTAAAATCTCGTCCAGCAGCTTAATGGCCGTTGCGGTCGCCGCCTCGGAGCTGTCTTTTCTTAGCGTCTCCACGGAAACGATGACACGATGCACGCGACGCATCTTTCGCTCGCATGCACCCACAGCCATCCCGGGCGTACCTTTGACAGCGAACCGGGAATATGCGGTGATGAAGCTGGAATTCTTGTCCTTCTTCTTATACCGGTCGAACTCTGCAAAGACTTCGCGCAGTGACCGGCCGCCCATGATGAGGCTTGGCTGCACCCACACTTTCCAGGCAGCAGCAACAGTGGTGGCTTCGCGCCAAGACACAACGACCACGACGAAGAATTCTTGGATGGCAACTGGTGCTTTGGATGCGTCCGTTGCCTGGTTTCCTCCTGTTCCCGCGCTCTTCGACGATCCGTCGATCTCTGTAGAGGTGTTTGCCGCGTCATCCCTGGCCGCAACAGACCTCTTGTATGCTTCGAACTCTGCAATGACCCGAGCCTTGTCCTCTCGCTCAGCGGCGAGTTTCTCCCTCAGTTCAGCGTTCTCCATCGCCAACTGCATTTCACGTCCTCTCAAAATCCCAAGCTCCTCCCTGAGCATATTGGCGGTGAGGTGCATCTTATGCGGCTTCTCTTCTGCGGTCGTGCGAAAGATAGCGTCCTGCAGAAACCAGCACGGCAGAACTCAGCATGAACGAATAACTCCTCTCTACCACTAATAGCAGGCACTTACTGCTTTGGCGGTGGTTTGGCCGGTTGCCCGAAGCTTCTCGCCCTGGAAGTGAGAGATAGCGACCAGGTACGCCCACTTTTGGAACAGCGGGTGGTTGCACAAGGGGCTCATCTGCACATATGGATGCCTCTCGCAATTGCACCGCGGGTTTCTCACGCCGTGCTGATGGCAGAACGCCCACATCATAGCCAGATCCTGTGCAACAACGAGGCGTCCGATGCTCGCGAGGGTGTCTAGGAACCTCGCCCCCGCATAGTGCCTCTTCAGCGGATCGGTCTGCGCAGCGTTCCATTCTTCGACCTGACGGGACGAGTATGCAGGAGAAATGGGACGGTTCATCATTGCGTATCAAAATTAAGCTACGAACGCGAAGACTGTACACTAGCACGTACCTTCTTCCAACCCTCTTCGACCCAGGGGAAAATGTGAAGCCTCAAGAGATCCAAGAGCTGCAACCACTCATCCTTCTCCTTAACCTTATGCCGCGGAAGCTTGGCGCGGGCTCTGCCGATGTAGTAGTCTCCACGATCCCCGCTGAATCCTGCCAACAGCCAAACCGGCTTGAACGATATGCCGAACACATAACACCTCCGCAACTCACCCTGCGCCCATCCGCCCAGAGTGCCGATATCGTTGTCGGAGCAACCGTCGTCATGGAGTTGTTGCGCTCCGGATCTGCGGAATGCATGTGTTACCTTGCTCAGAATCCATCTCGCCTTCGTCATGGCCCACTTAATCCAGGTGTTATGCGTTTTGTAGTGCATCTCGTCTTGCTTTTGCTTTCCCTGGTCGCCCTTCTTCAAAGAAAAGAAGAGGTGCGCCTTCGTCCACAAGATCGGTTCAGAAAAGTCGAGAGGCTCGACGATACCGGGGCCGTAGCGCAGAGGAACGAGGTCGTAGATGAAATAAAGCCACAGGAACACATGGCCCATTCCGCAGAGCCGCCAGTCCCTATGCCTTGCAAGAAACTGATGATTCAGCTTGTTGTTGGGGTTGGTCTTCGACTTCCTGGAAACAACGACGAGTACGAAAACGTCCAGATAGTCGTCGAGGTGTGATGTGCTCCGCCTCATGCGGACAAAGAGGTTCCCAAGTCGAATCTTTCGAATGCTGCACCCTCTTCCGAGAAATTGGTGTCCGAGGTGCATCATAACCGGGACTTGCAGAGCCTTCCAGAGAGGAAGCGAGATTTGTGACGGAGGCGTCCGCCACCAGATCTCTAGGAGCTCTTTTCGCAGAACAGTAAGATGCAGCGTCCTATACTGGCTTCCCGTATAGCAATCACCAATTGATCCACGGGTTTGATCTCGACCATCCCTGCATAGAATAGCACAGTAATTAGGTAAACCATGTAGAACAACATTCACACAAACAGAAAGCACCCGTATACGTTACTCACGCGACTTGCTCGTCGTTCAGATCCTTCAGCTTCACTTTGAAAAAATCCCGAGCATCCTTGATCCAGTCCTTGGTCAGTGTGATGGAGAAGCCGTAGAGCCTCGCCTCGCACCTGGCAAGGCATCCCATTGCGTTCATCTTTGCCTTGATCATTGAAGCCGTGCACCCCTTTGCCTCCTTCCCCACATATTTCTCGACGTCTGGCCGCATTTTTCCACGCAAAAACTTTGCCTGCTCGTCAGTTTCGCAGAAGAGATACTCGATGTATCGGCCGAGCCTCCATTCCGTGATTCGCGGCCCGTGCAGATGAATCTGCCACTCGTCAGAGCTGCACGACCACCCATCGTTTCCCAAGTTATTGCTCATATGAAACCCAACCTCGTCATGCAGAGAGGGAGCAAGGCTATCTGCCACAGGGACATCTACCATAGTTGCCATGAAGATGATCACCCACCACTTGAAGTGTAGAAAGTGGAAACAATAGTGCCTTCTCGTCCCGGCCTCTATCAGTCGAAGCGGGATTGTTGAACGCCGGATCCTGCTCTCCTTTTCCGCAACGTCGGTCTGCCGCTGCGCATTTCCGGGGGCCACAGCCTGCTCGACATGGCTCGCAGAATCGGGAGGTCGTCGTCGTCCCGGCGATGATTCTCCCTCCTCTTCTGCGTCAGAGTGATCTCCATCCTCCTCGTACCGTTCTTCGGGTGCACCGGGTCGTGGGCGCACTCCATCGCCTCCCGGCCCTTCACTCTCTTCTTCACTCCCCTGGACTTGAATCCGGACGGATGGTTCGTAGATACCACCCTGAAACAAATCCTCCTCGGTCGCCTCAAACTCGCTATCGTTCTCGCGATCCTGTGCGTAGTCTGGGTCAGTATTTTCAACGTCCTCTAGGTCTTCTTCTCCATCCTCTGCGCCCTGGGCTGCCATGGGGCGAGAGTGGACCGAGCTGTCGGCCATTCACAGATTCCTAATTTATTAGCTAGCAACCGAGACTAGACAAAAGAATCGGATGGTGACAGCCGCGGTAGGTGGTAACGATTCGCAAGTGTGCAGATAACATAGGCAGAATGCTTAGTGGGCTAAGCGCAGAAGGCGTAAGAGAGTCTGTGCTTCAGACGTCTACACATTGGTCTTCGAACACCGCCTACAACTTGCGTTTACATATATATCTGCGCCTACAACTTGCGTATACAGGGTCGCTTGACTGTCCCGTACCGTATAGCTCTGTCACACTTTGTTTTACCGCTTTAATTCTCTACAACGAAACAACGAAAATAAGTTCCTACCATTATACGGATATAATCATCTACGGAACCCTTATGCTTGTACATAACTTTAGTGGGTTCGACGATATTATGGATTGGGAGCGAATACCTTTACCGATAAAAGAAGCCTAACGTCGAAGATGTCCGCCTACAAGAGCGGACGACCTATGACAATTGTTCCGGGCAAATACAAACAGTTCTACCGACAAAATATTATACCACACACATCTGCGCCTACATATGCGACCTAACAAGTACGACTGCAGTTATCCTAACCGGGCTGACCCAAAAAAAAAACCCACTCTATACGACCTACGTCACTATGTCGAGGATCGCCAATGTTATGCCAGTGGGCCAAGCAGGCTTAAAAGATTACGCTGGTGGACTAACAGGTGCTGGAAGAAAAGATCTCAAAGAGCTTGCGGAACATGAAATGCAAATGAAAAGGAGCAAATGAGCACGAAAACATCCATTCATACTCATCCACCACACACAGAAGCCCGTGTCCAGATCTGGTCATCCAACCCTGGGCTGGATGATTCTCCCGCAAAAAAACAACAGTTGGGATATGGTCCTACTAGACGCTGATTGGCTCTTGCAGCCTTGGGACTCTGACAACAACTGTTGCCATGGCCACGTGTGCAGAACACCTACAGTTGGTAAACAATGACTATAAAACACAATGAGCAAACGTAGGATGCTACACTTGAACTCATGTTATTTATAAAACACATAACATCAAAGGTATAAAGGAACACACATGCTGCAGCTTTAAGGTGGCAGCAAAAAAAAAACCGAGTTAAAGCATATAACGACGCAAGGAAGACCAGTTGGTCGCAACCGGCCATGCGACCGGCGGTCGTCACTTGTCGGCCAAAGAGTTACGATGGCGAAACATGTCATTCGCGACAAACATCACTGGCACAAAGGGTCAGGGCAGGTTGGTTGGAACACATTTTTCACGGTCAGGTGGGCGCGGAATTGTGGGCGGCTGGCCGTGTCGTATGCGGCGGAGCCTTGCGCCCAAGCCCTTCGGAATCCGGAACACACGGATCCAAGGCCTCGGATCATGGGGCAAACGCACTCGGAACTCCGCCACAACGTGGTAAGAGTCCCACCCACATTCTCACGCTAGCAGCTCCATCGTTCAGACACAACAGCAATATTCCCAGTCTTTTCTAGTAGTTTTCGGACGCCTCGGCAGAAAAGCGGAATCTCGAGTTTCTTGACGTTCAGCCAGAGACAGCATCTTCAAGACCAACTCACGTAAGATCGTACATTCTATTTGAAGCACGAATCGCATTTCGCTAGTGGCTTGGTGCTAGTCCTTCGATAGGCGAGTGAGTTTCCGTCCCAGAGGTCTCCCTCGAGAACTTCATCGCGTAGATCCGGCTGCCCCCGGTTACTGAAATTTCGCCCGCGGAGGCACGAGTGAGTCGGTTGCTGCGGACGTTCAAACACGTCATTATTCCGCCCGACTCACTCATTCGTGCCTTCGGAATCACTACTGAGCATAAAGCCGTTCTAATCCGCTCCCTCTGCCGGTTAAGCTCGTCCGTCCGCGCGCCTGCTTCTGCATCTGCGCTCTCTCGCCCTTCTCTCGTGCCTCCGTCGACCTACATCGCTGTAACGAATATGCTCTTTAATGTCACTGCTCCTCCTCGTCCTCCCGTATTCCCTTTCCTCCTCCTCGCTTCGATACAAGCAGAATGGCGGCCAATGACGCGCTGCCAGCTGTCCTGGTGGTGAACGACGATGGGATCGAGGCTCCGGGAATCAAGGCGCTCGTGGCGGTGCTCGGCTCGGCTGGCTTCTGCCGCGTCTTCGTCTGCGCGCCCGACGTGTACGTCGCCTTGCCCCTCCTTCGCGCCCTCTCTGTGCATCCATTTCCCCCCCCTGTGCGCCTGATGTGCACGTCGCACCGCGTCCCATGAACCCTGACTGCCGCCCACACCATAACTGCTTCCCCTCCCGTCTCGCCGCCTCCTCTCCCCCTCAATCCCCTCCAGGAGGGGCCTGATGGAGGTCTAGGAGGGGCGGATGAGGCGCACTCTGACGCCAAGCACTCTATGTTGAGCCGTGTCTTCGCCTTGCTCCTCTCTGCCCCACTGTGACCCTCTGTTCCCTATTCTCCCCGGTGCCGTACTGTCATGGTCTTGCCAGGGAGAAGTCAGCGTGCGCGCAGTTCATCCCATCCAGGAGGCACTTGAGGCGAGCCTGGTGGAGGACTATGAGGGGCACATTTTGAATCCAAGCACTCAATGCCAACCCGTATCTTCTGCTTGCCCCTCTGTGCCCCTTTCTGCCCCACGCCAGGGAGATGTCAGCGTGTGCGCAGTCCTTCAGCATCCATGAGACACTCGAGGCCAACCTGGTGGAGGACTGTGAGGGGCGCACATTCTGAATCCAAGCACTCAATGCCAATCCGTGTCTTCACCATGCCCCTCTGTACCCATCTGTACCCCTATGATGCCCTCTGTTCCCCGTGTCAGCGAGAAGTCCATCACCATCCGGAAGACACTTGAGGCGAATCTGGTGGAGGACTATGAGGGGCACATTTTGAATCCAACCTGTGTCTTCACCGTCTCTGTACCCGTCTGTACCAATCTCTACCCGCCTGTGCCCCTCTGTACCTCTCTATGACCCGCACCAGGGAGAGGTCAGCGTGTGCGCAGTCCATCACCATCCGGGAGACGCTCGAGGCGAATCTGGTGGAGGACTATGAGGGCGCTGCTGTGGCATACTCGCTCACAGGTGCGCGCTGCTGTTCCTGCTCGTTCATAGCTGTCTCTCATTATTCACAACTTAAACACCCTGTCGGTCCACACACTGCGCTTCAGCCCATTCGTTGTCGGTCTTTTCTTCTTGTATGAAGAATGTTGGTTCGAAAAAGCTTGGGATGAATCTCTGTCCCCCCTGCCTGCTCCCAACAGGCACACGTGCAGACTGTGCGTCCATGGGCCTTTCGGGTGACCTGTTACTTGACTCAAAGCTCCCCTTTCTCTTCTCCCTCCTGCCTGCTCCCAATCCCCACAGGCACACCGGCAGACTGTGCGTCTGCGGGCCTCTCAGTTAATGTTGAGTCGTCTCAGAAGTTAAGACGTTCAGAACTTTTCCCTGTTCTCCTCCCCCTGCCTTTCCCAACAGGCACACCGGCAGACTGTGCGTCTATGGGGCTTTCTGGCCAGCTCTTCAAGGGCATCAAGCCCCTCCTGGTATGGAGTGGTTCAAAGCGGTGCAGCGAGGCTCATGTGGTCAAAACACGGTCAAAGCGAAGCCATTAGTTTCAAGCATGGTCTAATTGCTCGACTGTGTGTTTCCTGGTGTTGTTGCTTCATGCGTGTCCTCAGGTGCCGTTCTCTTCTCAAAGATACCACTGTCGTATCCGTCAAAATAAGATCGCTCTGTTTTGTGAATCTTGTTTTGTTGTACATCCTTTTCTCTCCTAGTCGGGGATCTCTTTTCTTTTCTCCTGATCCTTGTCTCTCTTGATCCTTTGCATCCGTTGCATGCATGTTGATGGCGTGTGTGAGGTCAGGTCATCAGCGGCATCAACAAGGGCGCCAACACAGGCCGCCAAGTGTGAGTTACCGCCTGTGTTGCCGCTTCAGCACCTGCTCGGTCACATCCCATCCCTGTGCTCAAAGCCACCTTCCATTTACCTCAAATCACGGCATCTACCTTCACCAGCAGAAGGACCCTTCTCAGCCATATCCATGTGTTCTCTCACACCCTCGTTCGTGTCTTCCTGTGCTTGCATTGCATGCATGTGCTTCACGCAGTTCATCACGCATGTTGGCTTTTGAGTGGACTCAAAAGGGTCACAATTTGGAGGCACCTCAAAAGTCTTTCTTCCTGTCCTTGCATTGCATGCATGTGCTTCTTGGAGTTCATCACGCATGTTGGCAACTTAGCATCCCCCTCACCTTGTTCTCCAGTCCAAGCACCCCTCACTGCTCCTCCTGTGCTTGCTTGGTCCTCTTCCACACGTTGAATCTCTTTTCTCCTGCCATTGCCATGTCCGCAGCAGCATCTATTCAGGGACGGTGGCGGGTGCAAGGGAGGCAGTGATTCAGAGAGCGCTCCAAGCCCCTTAGCTGCTCCTCTTGTGCTTACATGGCCCCCTTCCACACGTTGTACCGTCCCTATCCCTACCCACCATGGAACCGCCCAACCAACAGCATCTATTCCGGCACGGTGGCGGGCGCAAGGGAGGCCGTAATTCAGGGCGCTCCAGGCATCTCCATCTCCCTCGACTGGTCAGTACCTTTTCCTTCTTTCAATGCTTGCACGCTTATCGTATTCCTCTGGATGCTGCTTTCATGTTGTATGGGACGGGACCAACCAAGCGCAGCGCCCCTTGCTATGACAGAGTGATTGTCACTATAGTGACTGATCACCCCTTTATATATACTGTGCCTGCCCACCCACCCGTCCCATCCTTTCTTCCTTTCCCACCATCTCGCTCTCCATCAGGAACTGCTTGCATGACAGACTTACACTCCTCGTTGGTTCCACCTTTCATCCCATCCCATCCCATCCCATCCCATCCCATCCCATCCCATCCCATCCCATCCCATCCCATCCCATCCCATCCCATCCCATCCCGTCCCATCACATCTTCTCCACCATATCATTCCTTCCACTCCGTCCCCTCCTTCACATGCCTTTGGCCACACACTCACCAGGGCCGCTGCAAGCACTGACGCCCACTTTTCTCCCGCCGCTGCCACGTGTCTGCCTCTCATTCGCTGCGTTCTCGAGGCAGCAACCTCTGGTCAGCTATCCAGCAGCGGAGGGGACCCGCTGCTGCTGAACGTGAACGTGCCGCTTGACCCCGTCAAGTCCAAGGTGTGTGCTTTCTTCTGGCACCTGTATATGGCACCCATATATGGTATAGAATGCTATGGCGTGCCATACTGGTAACAGCAGTGGCGCCCCTCAATCCTCAATCGTCCATCCTCCATCCTCTCATCCCTTTCATCCTTGGCAGGGCTTCAAACTCGCCCAGCAAGGCCAAGAACGGGTGGCCTTTTCCTGGACGCACATTGCCAAGAAGTGCAGCGGAGTGCAGGTGGCAGGGATGAGTGGTGCTCTGAATCTCCCTTGGCCTCTCGGTCCTCCATCCTCTATCCTCCATCCTCTATCCTCCATTCCCTCAATCCTCAACAGGGCTTCAAGCTCGCCCAGCAAGGCCAGGCAAGGGTGGCCTTCCCCTGGACGCACATCGCCAAGAAGCGCACCGGAGTGCAGCTGGCAGGCATGGGGGGAGCGGCGGCAGGGGGCAGGGGACTTCCGGGCATGATGGGGGGCAGGGGCCTGCCGGGCATGATGGGAGGGAGGGGGCTGCCGGGAATGGTGGGAGGGAGGGGCCTCCCGGGCATGACTGGGCCTCCTGCGGTTTCTCTGGCTGAAATCGGATCGGTTGCCTCTGCTGCTGTGAGTGCTCATCTCTTTCCTTCTTACGAGGTGACTTGTGAGTCAACTCAAAAGGCCTTCCGGGCATGACTGGGCCTGCTGCGGTCTCTCTGGCTGAAACTGGACCGGTTGCCTCTGCTGCTGTGAGTGCTCGTCTGTGTTCTTAGTAGTTTGGTATAGTCGTAGGTGTGAAAATAAGTCGCTGAAAAAAGTGTTATAAGTCTGATGTGTGTTATAATCATCATGCTGGCATGTAATGTTCCATTTGGCATAGTCTGCATGATAAAACCTTACATTTCTGGGCATGTAATGGTCCATGCAGGCTATGCCCTGTAATGCTGGAACATTACATGCCTAAATGGACGGCATGACTGGCCAGCCCAGCCTTACTGTCAAGCAACCCCAAAAGCTCATCCCTCTCAACCCCACGCACCCCTCTCAACCCCGCGCGCCCCTCTCACCCCTGTGAACCCATCACAACCCCACGCACCCCTCTCAACCCCGCGCGCCCCTCTCACCCCTGTGAACCCATCACAACCCGACGCACCCCTCTCACCCCCACGCCACTCGCTCTCCCTCCCACAGGGCACAGCACAGTCCAGAGTCCTGGCCGTCCACAAAGCCTCACTGTTACCTTAATAGTCTCGAACACACATCCCCTATCTCTGCCTCCCACAGGGCGCAGCGCGGTCCAAGACTCCTGGCGAGGAGAGCAGGGAGGATGGTGGGGACGAGCCATGGCAGCCACTCTCACCCCTCTCACCACCCCATGCACTCATCTCACCTCTCTCTCTCGCATCCCACAGGGCGCAGCGCGGTCCAAGACTCCTGGCGAGGAGAGCAAGGAGGATGGCGGAGATGAGCCGTGGCAGCCGCTGCATAAGATGCACTTCCGGCACGAGGTGAGGTGCAGTTGACCATCGTTGGCAAGAGGCAGCCGCTGCGTAAGATGCACTTCAGGCACAAGGTGAGCTGCAGTTGACCATCGTTGACCGCTGTTGACCATCGTTGACTGTCATTGACTGCCGTTGGCAAGAGGCAGTCGCTGCATAAGATGCACTTCCGGCACAAGGGGAAGCGCAGTTGACCATTGTTGACCATGGTTGACACGAGGCAGCCACTCCATGAGATGCACTTGAGAAACGCCGTGAGGTGCATGCCGCATCATTAGTATGAGGATCAAGTGCGTGGGACTTGCTGGTCGAGCCAAGTACCGTGCCTTAGTCTCTGCTACTTCATTCCGGGCACTGCAGCTCTGGTGGCCTGCATGGGGCACTGCAGCTCTGGTGGCCTGCATGGGGCACTGCAGCTCTGCAGGCCTTTCACGTCGCCTGGCCGTTCAGAAACATCATCAGTCTCACACATCTCTCCCCCACAGTCGAGTGGGTGGGACGTGCTTGACAAGGATCCAGCCTTTGGCTCCGGTGCGCTGCCAGCCTTTTACATAAACTGACTGTCAAAGCGTCAGTACCACCCCTCTCACCTGCACTCATCCGTCTCACCCCCTCGCACCCTTCTTTCTCTCGCTCTCAGCCGAGTGGGTGGGACGTGCTTGACAAGGACCCCGCCCTGCTTTTGCGCCACTGCGCTGCCAGCCTTTCATGTGGCCTGACTGTACAAGAAACTCATCAGTAGCATCCCTAAATTCCCCCCACACCCCACTTCCCCTCGCAGCCTGACAAGGACCCCGCCCTGCTTTTGACTCCGCGAGTGGTGCGAGGACCCCGCCCTGCCATGTGATGTGAAATGCTGGCAAGGATCCGGCCTTTGACTCTGCTGCTCTACCAGCCTTTCACATGGCCTGCCTGTTAAAGCGTCAGTAGCACCAGTCTCACCAATACTCACCCCTCTCACCTACCTCCCCCCCCCTCGCATCCCTCTCTCCTGCCCAGCCGAGTGGGTGGGATGTGCTTGACAAGGACCCCGCTTTTGACTCCGCTGCTCTCGCACTTGGCTATGTGAGTGGTGATGGGTGTGATGCGGTTGAGAGTGATGTTGGGTGTGTGAGTGGTGATGGGGGTGTGAGTGGTGATGGGGGTGTGAGTGGTGATTATCACCTGCTCTTTCTATTCTCGCCTCTCTCCTCTCTCCTTTCCCATGCCTCCTTCCTCTCACTTGCCGTGCCATCCATCGACAGTCACTCCGTTCGCCGTTTTTTAGGTGCCTTTGAACTCCTCTCTGCCCTTGCTTATACCGTGCCACCCATGGTGCAGGTGACACTCACGCCGCTCGCCATCACTGCTGCCATCGACATCCACTCACGGCTCAAGGAGGACCTGGCGTGGCTCGCGCCGCTGCTGCCCCACGATGCCTAACTTGCCCCTTGGTCCGACATGCACTCCGCTCGCCGTCACCTCATTCAATAACGTCCACCCACAGCTCAAGTCGGACCTGGCATGGCTCGCACCGCTGCTGCCCCGCGATGCCTGACCTGCCCCTTGGATCGTCTGTCGCTGAGTTTTTTTATCTGAGGCCTGAGCTGTTGGACCAGTCCAGAACCCAGTTTTTGAAACATGAAGAATCCTGTACTGGTCTGTTTTGTTTGACAAAACAAGATATAAGTTATTTAAAATAATTAATTGTTTGTCATATCCAAAGGTTTTATGACTCCATGGCCCAATGGATAAGGCGCTGGTCTACGGAACCAGAGATTCTGGGTTCGATCCCCAGTGGAGTCGTCGTTAGAAGAACCCTACATTGTGTGCTTCTGTTAAGCCGCTGGTTGTGTACAGTATAATAGGCTAGTTCTTTTGAGTGATAGTGATAGTGTTAGTGGTTGTGCTCCTCCCTTATCCCCTTCCTCCGCCTCTTTTATCCTGCACCCTCTCCCCTGTTGGGCTGAGATGCCCTAGGATCTTTGTAGAGTTAAAGTCTGAGTAGGATGATGTAATAGCGGAAGAGTTTTGATTGAAAGTCCTTGAACCACCTTGCGCTGGTATGTGAGGGCAAAGTAAGTTAATTAAAACAAGCAAATACAAAGATTTATATACCGTCACCCCCCGGATATACCCCCATGGGGGGCAATAATAAAACAGGTTTTTTCAAGGGGGTGGGCTTATAATCGAGTAAATTTATAAGCGCCGGCGTTTATAAAATGACATTCATATTTTTTATATTGTTTAACACCAAACTGTAGGTCTCGTGCTTGCCCTTTCAATCGAGTCGAATTTACATGGGGTCGTCTGTGAAATTCTCGCGCGCGCTGGGAGACACACCCAATCTGACTCACATCCAGCTCCTGACAGCTCCTGCTGACTGGACCCGCATCCAGTGCAGGGTCCGAATGTGAAGGGAACCGAATCTGCAACATATCTGCCTGCTAAAGTAAAAATCATTACAACGTTTTGTACACATTTCAAATTTTAAAGTTTACGTGCGCTTATAATAAAACTAGTTTTTTCAGGGGGTGCGCTTATAATCGAGGAGGGGATATAAGCGCCATATGCCAATTAGAAGCGCCAGGCGCTTATCCTAGGGTGGCGCTTATATCCGGGGGGTGACGGTAAGAGTACAAGGAATACGAATAGATATAATTAAACTGTTTTACTGTTGCGGTTCGATACAGTGCGACTCGGGCAACTGCTCAATGTCGAGTCAGTTGTATGTCCTTGCTGTCGCGCTGTATTTGTCAAGTCAAAGGTCGCTGACCTTTGACCTTCGTGTAACCTCCAGCGGTTACTTTAACTTCCGATGGTTGACTCGCGATGCTTCGATTTGAGCTGCTTCGCTTGTGTCTTGAGTTTCGACACGACAGAGGCGCTTAAGACTTGTTGTTCCCAACACTCCCCTTCGCTTCTGGAGTGTCGCTGATGGTGACGTGGCTTTGTCCAGTCAGCAGCATGCAGTACTCGAACTTCTGTTTTCCGAGCTTCTTGGTCAAGTAGTCGGCTGCCATCTCGGACGTGGGACAGTAGGATAGTTCGAGTTTCCCTTTATCGATCTCGTCTTTTACGAAGAAATATCGCAGAGCGATATGCTTCGTTCTGTTCGCGAATCCGCTCTTGTTGGCGATGCGAATCGCAGATTGGTTGTCGAAGAACAGAGTGAAGTTGGGTAACTCGGCTAACTTTGCTTCTTCCAACAGCTCGCGAAGATAGAGTCCTTCCTTGGTGGCTGAGCAGAGGGCAATATATTCTGCTTCAGCTGAAGAGAGAGCGATTACTTCCTGCTTGCTCGATTGCCAGGAGATACGGTAGGTCCGATAGGTTCAAGACGGTAGATGTAGCCAGTGCGGGAGCGCCTGTTGTCTGAATCGCCGGCGTGATCGGCATCGACGTAGCCGATTAGTTTCGTCAGTGTAGTTTTATTCTTGTAGTATGTCAGGCCGATCGTCGAGGTGCTCACGAAGTAGTGTAGTGCGCGGTCGAGCTCCGCAAGGTGCTCTGCTTCGGGTCTCTTGAGGTAGGTGGCGAGTTGACTTGCGGAGTAGGACAGATCTGGGCGGCAGGTGACGGCTGCGAAGAGAAGGCAGCCCAGCTTCCTCTGGTAATCGCGTATTCCGGCAGTTTTGAGTAGAGTGGAACCACCCTTGTCGTTCCCTGCCGTGTAGCGGTATGGCGTGGAGATAGTGGTAGGTGTGAGCGAGAAGCGCTTGGCGATAGTGTCGGCATATTTTTCGGCGCTGAGGTAGATCGCATTTGTTGAAATATAAATGTAACTGCCTGTAGCTGTAGTTTAGTGTAGTTATTATAACTTGTTGGTGGTGCACCTTCTTTGCATGCTTTGTTTGCTATTTGTACCTCGCTCAATAGTGAACTCATCCTCTTTTGGCAAACTCTCTCGACATGTTCCTCTCCAAGTCTCCTACTACCCCAAACCCTAGTCTTCACTTAATCTACTATTTTGACATGGTATTAAGAGCTGGGTCGTTCTAAGACCTACTTTTCTTTTTCCCCATGGGCCCACCATGTATCCCCCCGCTCATGGCGCTCGTCACGCCCCCCGTCGCGGCCGTAGTTACGACGGTTGCAATGGTCGCGACCGTCAAAACGGTCTCGGCGGCGAGCTGCGCGACGGCGTCAGATGCGGCCTCGTTTCGGCCCCCCGTCAGCGCCCTGCACGTCCGCGCTTCCTGCGCCCTGCTCGTCCCGTCCGTGGCGCCCTCCCCGTTGCGCCCGTTGCGCCCTGCTCGTCGAGCACCGCGCGCAGCTGCGTACGGCCGCGCATTGCTGCGCGCAGCCGCGTACGACCGTGCGCACCCGCGCACGGTCGTGTGCGCCAGCACCAGCGCCCGTCGCCAGCACCTGCGCGAGCGCCAGCGACGACGCCAGCGCCAGCAGCAGCTAGCGCCGCCCCCCCCTTACCTTCCGCAGCTTCCGCCGTGGGGGGGGGGAGATGTGGGGGTGGCGTGTGTGAGTTGCCTGCAGCCCGTCCTTCCCCTCCCTTCAGCGGGGTCCGTCGTGAGGGGGGGGAGAGGTAGCGGGGGGAGGGTGAGGGGAAAGGGGGAGAGTGTGAGGGAGTGGAGAGAGATTCTGCCGAGCCAGCAGCCGCCCCTCCTCCTCTCTATCCCACTGCTGCACGTGCCGCCGTGGGAGGGAGGGTGAGATGGTGGCGGAATTCAGCTAGGCATTTGCAGCTGCCGCTCGCTGCTACCGTGGCACCTACTGCTGCCTCCCCTGCCTCCACCTGCTGTTTTACTTCCTTCTGCTGTCTTTTGCTGTTGAGCGACAGGTGCTGCCGTTGAGCCCTGCTGCTGTGCCGCCGCACGTTGCCGCCGCACGCACCCGCTCTCCAGGCGACCTGCCGCCACATGCACCTTTGTCTGTTGCTTCCACCTTGGTTGAGGGGTTGGTGCAGCTGAATTTGCCACCACTGCACAGGTTGCCACTGCTCTTGCCTACTGTTGCTGTTTTCTCTGTTCGTGGTGTACCGATCCAAGAGGTGTTGCTGCACAAACTCCTGCTGCAGGCAGTTATGGGGGAGTGTTGAAATATAAATGTAACTGCCTGTAGCTGTAGTTTAGTGTAGTTATTATAACTTGTTGGTGGTGCACCTTCTTTGCATGCTTTGTTTGCTATTTGTACCTCGCTCAATAGTGAACTCATCCTCTTTTGGCAAACTCTCTCGACATGTTCCTCTCCAAGTCTCCTACTACCCCAAACCCTAGTCTTCACTTAATCTACTATTTTGACAGCATTCTCTTCTTCGCGGATGTTGAGTCCGAGATACTGAGTGACGGTAGAGGAAACCGTGAGCGTGAGGTCCCTCTGCAGCTCCCCTTCGAACGAGGTGGTGATGTCGTCGGTGGAGCAAATGTAGAGTAGGTCGTCGACGTAAACGATCAGCAGGATATAATCGGCGTTTTTAGTGAGTCGATACATCTCTTGGTCGTGAGGCAGTTGGCGGAATCCGATGCGAGTAAGGCGAGTGTGTAGGTGCTGTTGCCACAGCCGCGGGGCTTGTTTGATTTCGTAGAGCGATTTTAGCAGTTGGCAAACCTGATTAGGTTTCCCGTGGGTATCGTGTGGGAGCTCGACGAAGATTTCGGCGTCGACGGGTGCGTAGAGGAATGCGTTGGCGACATCAATTTGTCGCAATTTCTTCTTCTTCATGGCGGCAATCGCGAGAAGAATTCGGAGAGAGGTATGTCGGCTGACCGGGGCGAATGTCTCGGTGAAGTCCCGTCCGTGCTCGTGGTCGAATCCACGCACGACCCAGCGTGCTTTGAATTTCTCGATTGTGCCGTCTGCTTTCGTTTTGATGCGGAAGACCCATTTCTCGGTGAGAATGGTCTTGTTCCTTGCCACGCTTGCGGGAACGACTTTCTAGGTGTTGCGTTCCTCCAGTGCCTTTAATTCTCTGTCCATGGCTTCACGCCATTTCTCCCTGTGTTCCCCCCCCAGAGCCTGCTGAACCGTCGCAGGCTCTTTAGGAAGAGCGTTGCCGTGGACTGCGGTGACGAGGCTGAGAATCTGCAGTCCGGTCTGTGAGTAGCGGGGGAGTGTTGGGTCCTCGGGATAAGCTGCTTCGTCTCCCGCTTCTGGGTCGGGTATGAAATTCGGTCCTATCCGTTCTGCTTCGTTTGTGTTGACCGTCGCAGGTGTAACGTAACCGTTGTCGGCGAAGTTGTCAGAGGTCCACTGGTGATCCCCGATTGATCCTAGGGAAGGGTTATAGGCACGTTGGCCTGGGGGGTTATGGGCGCACTGACCCGCTACTTAAACAAGCCCTTTTATCCCAATGGTCTAGTGGTTGGGATTTTGACATGGTATCAGAGCGGTATCGGGTTCGAATCCCAGTGATTTTCGTGCAAGTTGGCGAGGTACGTCTGAAGTGTGAGTCGCTCGTAGAAGATCATGTCACGTGCTGCTACTGT